AATTTGTAAGTGCATTCTCTTGCTGATGGATGTTTGGTTCCTTTTCAGTTTGGAATTACAATGAATAAAGAGCTATGAACATTTTGCACCAGGTTTTTGTGGATATACACTTCCATGACTTGCAAATAAATACTAAGGAGTGAGTCATGGGGTAGGCCTATGTGCAAAGTTACATTAAATTATCAGTGTTCAAAGGGTTTGTACCATTTTACACTCCTACCAGCAATACGTGAAGTTCTAGTTGCTAAACATCCTCACCAACACTCAGTATTGTCAGTCTTTATGAACTTGTCCATTCTAGTGGGGTGGGGTGGTAACCTGTGTGTGTTGAGCTGGGTCTGGGCTGTGCTGCTGTGTAGTTGGATTTAGTTCTGTCTTTTATTTTTGTATTCTAATACTTCGACATCTGGAGCCTCATTACTGCTAGACGGACAGCCTCTCCCAGGGTTAGTCAGTTCTAAGAGGTAGTAAATGACTTTCCAGAGAGCTGCCTTTTCAAATACAAGCAACCAATCCAAAGCTCACTCCCTCAACCACCTCCTGCAGCAGGCTCTTACACTCTGGGCCACCATACCCTGCCCTAATACTCACCTAGGAACAGGTTTCAGGGATAGCCCAGGTGCCCCACAGCCCACTGAAATGATTCACACTTCACACTAGCCAATGCTAAGCCTGCTCACCCTGCTTTCCCAATTCCTTCCCACAGAAGCCACACCAAGGCTCTTGCTTACAGCTCATCTCTCTCTCTCTCTCCCTCTCTCTCTCTCTCTCTCTCTCTCTCTCTCATTGTCTCATGGCTAACCCTGCCAATTCTCAGTGGTCCCCTGAGAGTGATGTCTCTCTTCTATTGGGATTTGTGAGTAATAAACTATTTTGCAAAGAGAGTTGTCTCCTGATCTGTTGGCCTTACTATACCTCGACTTTCTGTTAATACACTATATTTTAAAAGAATTTTTCACTGGCTCAAAATGTTTGCAAACCTGTGTAAGGATTTCTCTTTAGCAGTGCTTAGAATCTGAACACCAGTGTGACTTGAGATTTTAAAAAAAATAATATCCCACTGACCAGTTTTCCAAACTATTATTCTCTCCCCATTTACAACCTGCCAGATTTTGGAGTCTCTAGGGAGTTCCTTGTTCTCCAGATTTGCTCCTGGGCCCCTCTTCTTCAGTGGCCCCTCTCTGTTCTGTGTCCCATGGAGGCATCCACAACACCCTCGGTTAAAGTCCTGGCAGCCTGGCAGGTTATGTGGGCATTCCTGCCCTTCCCCTAATGTCCCTGTTCACTTGATGAAGCTCATTGGAAAGTGCCAGTGTTTGGTTGCAGACCCATTCCATGGCCGATGCTCTTCCGGGGTCTAACGCATCATGCCAGCCTACGCACGCCCTTTGAAGTTTGTGATCCCATTGTCTGCTTTCTCCTTAGCCCTGCCTAAACAGCATTTTTCCTCTCCCTTCACATTGCCAGTGACGAGGGCAGCTGTCGGTGCCGGAAGGCTTATCTCTTTCTGCATTTAGTCCACCTGGATCCCTTTGCATCTTCAGCTCTCTAATGAATGAATACATTAAACAAACAACTGTTACAACAAAAGCCTGTGTTTTCATAGTTTATCCGGCTCTTCCTTGTTGCTAGGACGGGAATGGCCATCTCTGGAGACTTTTTATTTGCCTCCTGGAGGCAGAACTTCATTCAAGTTGATTGATTTGTGTGCCATTAACTATCTTTTGGGTTATTGTCATTTTTTCAGTCTGTTCTTGGATCTCTCTTGCTGCTTAGGAAGATTTTTTACAGCCAAGGGACTGTGTTTACAGATTTTTTTTTCATAACCTCCAACTACTGTATTTTTTTCTGCCTTCAAAAGAAGTCAACATAACTGAATGCAGTACTTGTAGTACTTCTTTCTTTTGACTGTTCAGCTCTTCCCTGTGGTTCTCTTCCTTTTCAGTGTCTCCAGGAAGAAATCTTAGGCATTATCCTCTTTGTCCTTCGCAAGTTGTAGAATCTTTTATTAATCTTTAACATTTGAGGGAAAAAAAACTCTTTGACAAGTAGGAATCCTGGAACAGAAGTTGTTTCCTTAAGAATTTGCTCTTCCGTGGGGTGATGGGGGCCCTGTGTTGCCCCAAGTCTCTGGTTTCTTTGGTATTCTGACTTACCTCATGTTGTCTTGCTGGGATGTGATTTCAAAATTTGTGAATTCACCTTGCATTATTATTGTCGTTCCTGTCCACTGTCTGATGGTAATTTTCTTGGGCTAGTTTTATTTAACACTATTCTTCCAACATTTCTTTACATTGAGTTGTTCATACCTTCTGGAAAGTTTGTTCATTACCCGGCCCCCTAGAGCTGACTGTTTAGCAAGCCCAATACAGCGCCACGTGCTTGTCTCCATCTAAGGTGTTAATCATTCCTCTTTGGCTTTGGCCGAAGAAATGACCAAATGCCTCCAGAAGCTCCCTGCGGCTCCCGGGTTGAGGGTGCATTTCCAGCTGTTGGCTCTTCTCCCGAGGGCTTGTGGTGGCGGTGATCTTCTTTTGTGCATTTCTCATTGCTTTTTGAAGTTATTCTCATTTATTTTGATGTGGATTTTCTTTATTGAAATGTTAAACCCCACACTTTAGACTGTCAATAATTTGAATTTTTAATTGTTTTTTCATCAGCAGTCATAAAAAGGACTATTCCATGCTCTGTGGACACCGGAATTCAGGAATGCTATAACAAATATGTGTATTAGCATACTTATTTAACCAAGAAATAATTATTTAACCTAGAGAAGATGTAGGGATTTCAGGGGAGAAATGTTATCATACTCGAGTGCTTATTTCGTGGGAAAGGAATTAGATTTATTCTGCATAGCTTCATAGGGTGCACATGGGTAGAATATACAGGTGGCAGATTTTGGCACAGTATAAAGAGATACTCCTCATACTGAGGGCTACCCCCAGTGAAACAGACACTGAGGACACAACAGTTTCCAGCTCCTGGAGGTGGGAGACCAAAGGCTCGCTGGCCATGCTTTAGCTACAGTGAGAAGAGGCCCTGACTCTGGCAATGATAAGAAGCATTGTGTTGTATCAACAAGGTGACCAACTGCAAAATAAAAACATAAATCTGAACTTAGCAAGAAGAAACTTTCATTCAAAAGGATTTTTGCAATAATAAAGGACTATTGCAATTGGAAGAACACACTGATTATAAGAGCTTTAAGTACCTCCAGAACTTAGGCAAAAAGAGCTTTTTTCTTTCATAGACAGGAGTCAACCAGGCTAGAAATAACCAGGGATGAGGAATTGGGATGAAAGAGTAGCAGCATCAGATAGCAGACAGAGAATATTTTCCCTGAGGCCAGCCTGTTCTCAGGAGAGGCGTCCGGCTGCTCAGGCTGAGGGGACCTTGGAGGAAGGTTAACAAGAATTTTGTTCTGGTTGATCAGTGGGGCAAAGCAGTTCAGCTAATTATTTATTAGGCAAAAAAAAAAAAAAAGGAATTTGCAAGATCCTTGTCTTTTTCACAGGGAACAAGGGGTATATACACATCTAAGACATATAGGAAGGGTGAGTCTTTGCAGTAAGCTGTTTTCAGAGACACAAAAGGGTGGGATATTCCTTATCCTCATCAAAAGACAAAATGATAACAAATTTTGCTTAAAGATCTAACTGGCTTTTATTTGTTATTCTACAATTGAGTACCACCTCATTCTGTTTTCTGAGGAAGAGAATGAGGTTTCTATGAGCTGATCAGAGAAGTTTGGCTTTATAGGCAGAAAGAACTCAAAGAAGCAGAAACAGGGAACAAAAAGTGTACTGGTCATTTAAAAGTTACTTGCCTTACAGGATTATAACAGAGGGAACTTCCTTATTGTGCTGAACCAGATTGACTGACATCTCCTGTTTTTTTGTTGTTTAGTTTTGTTTTTTTTTTTGTTTTTTTTTTTAGACAGAGTTTCGCTCTTGTTATCCAGGCTGGAGTGCAATGGCGCGATCTCGGCTCACGGCAACCTCCACCTCCTGGGTTCAAGCAGTTCACCATGCCTAGCTAATTTTTTATATTTTTAGTAGAGACGGGGTTTCACCATGTTGACCAGGATGGTCTCAATCTCTTGACCTCGTGATCCACCCGCCTCGGCCTCCCAAAATGCTGGGATTACAGGCTTGAGCCACCGCGCCCGGCCCGACATCTCCTGTTTTTTAGGAAAACGGGCCCATTTCAAACTTCTGTTTGGTTCCATGGCACTTAGCACAAGTTTCTCCATTCTGGTCTGGTCTGGTCTTCTGGGGCCTGGTGCAGGAGGCTGGTTCAAGCCGACAACCTCCCATCAACTGGGCTTAACAACCTTCAGATAAAAGTCTACATTGCCAAGACTTTTTCAAGCTTTATTCACTTCTTGACAATGAGCCATATCCAGTTGTCATTTAGCTTTCTTTGGTAATTTGTCAGGTGCCTCCAGGCACTTCACTAGGCTCTAAGGTTAAAAGTCTGGGGCAAAACTCAACACTGCTTTAAGGATGTCACAGTCTAACAGTCTTCTCTGGAGAAGTACACTTCCAGAAGAGCAGCTACAGGTCATGTACATCCTGAATTGGAAATGTAAAAAGTTCAGAAGTCAAAATGACCAGAGTAAGGGCCAAAGATCAAAGGATACTACAAAGATTAGGCTGATAAGACTTCCTGATATACTGCATTTGGGCATAAGAGAAAGGAAGGTGTCCAGATTAACTTCAAGGAGTTTAGTGTGAGCAACTAAATGAATGGGATTGATATTTACTGATGCAGAGAAGAATGTGGGCATAGCAGGAGGTAAAGGGGGGAGAGAAAGAGTTCCGTTTTAGTTATATTATGTTTGATACGCCTATTAAAAGTCTGAGTAATTTTTTCAATTAGAGATTTGGAGTATGGAACTTAGAGATGGGGTCCAGGCCAAAAAGATGAATGTAGATGTGATACTGACCAGCATGTTCTGCCCATTGTATAATAAGCCAATCACTGAGATGACAAGTTTCGCAGTAGAGAAAATATTTTATTCACAAAGCAGTCAAACAAGGAGGTGGAAGAACACCTCTCAAATTCACCTCCCTGAAGATGAGGTCTTAGTGATAGTTATGGGATAGAGGAGCAAGGTGGTCCAAGGCATGGGGAAAGGTGATTGAGGGTGAGGAAAAATGAGGTAATCAGTGATCCATGCAAATGTAGTCAAGCTTCATGGTTCTTTATGGGACATGTCTTCACAAAATGGCATCATTAACATGATCTGAGAGTGGTGTTTTTGTCCCTCTAATGTTAGAAGATCATTCATTGAACATCTCTGCAGGGGATCGACCCTGTCCAGTTGGAGGGTCAGTGGCCTCAGATGGCTTGAACTGGACAAGTATTGACCCCAAGTTATTAAAAAACAATGTAAGTAAGTTACCATCATGACTTATAGATTCTATTTAAAAATAAGGCAGTGGGAATTTAGTTATATATTGTTTAGCTGATGACTTTTAGCTATATAGGATTTAAAGTCAACTAGAAAAAAGGAACTAAAAGCAACCAAAGCAGATAAAGTTTTGCAGGCTAATCAGCTTAGCTGTTGGTTTTAGAGGTGGCTTGTGGATCATCATATCCAGAAGTCGTAAAGTTGATCTTGTACCATGGGGAGCATATTGGCTGAGCAAAACCAGCAGTGATAGTGATTCTACTGGTTTCTAGGCTGATGGTTGGACTTGGGAGTAAAGGAGTTGCTATTTTCCACCACAGTCCTCTCTAATCTGTGTGCAGGGCCGTTCTGATTAGCTGAATATCGTCATGTGGGTTATGCAGGCCTTGAGGCAAACTTCAAGGTTGACCTGATGCAGTTCATTGGTATGTTCTCTTGTCCTCTATTCATTATTCCCAGTGGCTAATTCATTTCCAGGGGACTCTGTGGGAATCAAATAGTTCAATTATATGGAGAATGAATCTAGGCAGAGAACTTTCATCACACATTAAGAAGCCCATGCTGGAAGCAAGATACAAAACTATCAAAGTAGGACTCCAATTATGTAAATATATATTCATGCAACAAGTGAATGAGCAAGTGGATGATTCCACAGATCTTTTAGTCCTACTGAGTGTCAGCCTGTATTATATGCTGAATCATCAGTAGAAAACAGGGTTTCTGGTCACGGGGTAGATGGAGCTGAGGTTCATGAATCCTTCCCACTGCAAGCATGAAATGCTGAGTAAATGCTGGATATATATATTGATCACCTAAAGAAAGAAGCTGAGGCAGAATTAATATAGAGAGTGTATTTGGTTCAAGGTTGAAAAAGCAGCCTATGACACAATTCCAGGTTGCCTTGGAGAGTGCTCCTTTGCTACAAACAGGTTATTAAAGGCAAAGGGAACAGAGTGGTCTGATACAAAGTTGTTTGCCTAGAATTCTCATTGGTTTACAGTGATAACATTGGTCAGTGTTTGGTTATACATTGTTGAATAGCCAATAGGTAGGGGATTATAGTGTTCAGCGTATGGCATTTTATGGCTACTGGACATTAGTTAGTCTGGAGCCCACTTAGCAAGTGGCTTCAAGCAGTAATTATTTAGTTCAAGGAGTGAAAGGTGACTGCTGTCATTAGGTCACCTTTCATTAAACAAAGTTTAATGAAAGCAGTTTATTTTCCCTGAGCACATTAGAAAAGCCATCTCAGAGAACTTTGCCTTCAGAATGCTCAGGGGTCTTTCTGATAAAGAAAGGGAGCAAGGCCAGGCATCGTGGCTCACGCCTGTAATCCCAGCACTTTCGAAGGCCGAGGCAGGCGTATCACGAGGCCAAGAGATCGAGACTATCCTGGCCAACATGGTGAAACCCATCTCTACTAAAAATACAAAAATTAGCTGGGCGTGGTGACACATGCCTGTAGTCCCAGCTACTTGGGAGACTGAGGCAGGAGAATTGCTTGAACCCGGGAGGTGGAGGTTGCAGTGAGCTGAGATTGCGCCACTGCACTCCAGCCTGGAGCCTGGCGACAGAGCAAGACTCTGTCTCAAAAATACAAAAAAACAAACAAACAAAAAAATTGGATTCTATGCGGAAATGGAAAATTACAGAAGGGGCTAAGGGGAGAATTACTGAAAAAGGGGTTTGGTAATGTGTGTTGGGGCCATGTACATTTTAGGGTTTGGCAGCATTTTGTTAAAACAATTTATAAATAAAATATATGATTGATTGATACTGGGAGGAAATTACAAACTATTGGCATTAGCTATCTCTCTTCGAACATTATTAAGACCTTTTGCTTCTTCTTATATATTTTTCCAATTTGTTATAATGACCATTATTTTTTAAATCATATGAAACAAAAAAGTCATGATATCATGACTAAATTCCTTATAAAAACAAATTAAATTGCTTTAGAAGAAAATACAATTTCCTGGTCATTGATTCCTAGGCAGTAAATCATAATTTGCAAATGATAATGAATAGATGCCAAAGAAAGGGAGTTTGCTAGTTAATTTGTTTTCATTTTGGATTCATACAGAAGTCTGTAATGCTGTTCTCAGATTATTTCATATGACATCATGGCATGAAATTTAATTTGGATAAAATATTTTATAGGCAGACACATTCGATCAATAATTTTATGTATATTTGTAAAACCGAACTAAAATTTATTTTCTACTAACATGAACTAAAAGGCAAACATGTAGGCTGATGGTTTTCATTAATGTTTTTACCATAAAATTCTTGGTCTGTGACTTATAGTTAAATGATATTTCAAATCTATACTTAAGTGTGGACTGGACATGGTGGCTCAGGCCTGTAATCCCAGTACTTCAGGAGGCAGAGGTGGGCAGATCACTTGAGGTTGGGAGTTCAAAACCAGCATGACCAACATGGTTTCCGTCTCTACAAAATAAATAAATAAAAATTAGCCAGGCATGTGGTGGACACCTGTAATCCCAGCTATTCAGGGTGGGCAGATCACTTGAGTTTGGGAGTTCAAAACCAGTATGGCCAGCATGGTCCCTGTCTCTACAAAAAACAAACAAACAAAAATAGCCAGGCTTGTGGAGGTGCCTGTAATCCCAGCTATTCAGGAGGCTGAGACAGGAAAATTGCATGAACCCCAGAGATGGAGGTTGCAGTGAGCTGAGATCTCCCCACTGCACTGGGCAACAAAGCAAGACTCTGTCTCGATCGATCAATCAATCAATCAAATCTATACTTAAGTGTGCATGGATTTATAAAAAATCTTTCTTGAGGTCTAGAAAAATCTTTTAGATTTTTTATATGCAAAGGACATAGATGCATTACAAAAGAAACCAAACCACTGTTTAGTTGTAGATATATGTAGACTGGTTTGGTTTCTTTAGTAAGTTGTATCATGTATTCTTCTCAGAGAGCATCCTCACTTATTGTGTCACAATTAGATCAGAGTTTGACACCACTTTTGTCCTACCCTTGATCAAAATGTCAACAATCATGAGAATGTGTGCGCAACTAATTGCTAAACTATATAGTCACTAAATGCTTGAAATTTAGTCTTTGAAGTCTAACTTATTTGATTTGTATGACATTAAAAATTGACTTTACATGTGATCATATATGGCACTATTGAAGTGAGTTGAGAACCTTAACTAAATGACCCAGTTCTTTTCAAACATTTTTATTAAACATATTCCATAGAGATGGGCAGACTGTAAATTAAGAATTGCAACTGTGATATTCAGTGAGGGAATATAAATAACCAGAGCACTGTGAGACTCAAAGAACCGTGCAAACATTTTTGATATTGGCTGGACGAATAGAACTTAATTAAATTTAGACAGTCTTAGAGTAATTGCTGAAATTTGTGTCTATCTTTTGCAAAAACTAGTATTAAATGCAAGGAAACCAATAACAAGTCACCTCAATGATGTGCCTGCTGTGTCAGGCAAGAGTATAAGTGTCCCCCAAATATGTGAAGGACTTCTGGGTCCCCCCTTCTTAGCCAAAACCAGAAGAGGGATCTTTCCCTTTGAGTTTTGCCTTGGAATTCCTGAAGGCTTGGAGAGATCATGGGCGGAGTTCTAGATGTGGACTCAGGCTGTCTGATCAGACGTGGCACTTGCTGGATTCACGGTCTCCAGGAACCACTTGCATTGTGAGGGAAAAATTTTAAAGTGATGCGATTTTAGAGGAAGAAGGAAAAGAAGATAAATCCAATGGCAAGGTTATGACTCCAAATGCTTTCCAAATTCTTACTTACCAGAGATGGAATACAAATTTCATTTTGAATTTTCCAGTAGCCGAGGGGGTGGAAATCTAATCCATTGCACAATCCACAGTGCTGATAATAAAATTAAGATGTGTCGCCTAGGAGGAACATATTTATTTATTACTTTGAGACATGGGAGAAATTTCCCATTCGTCCTTATGATATAATTTAAAAAATTTCAAATACTTACAGAAAATACAAACATAAAGTTCAAAAATCTGTCTATAACCGTCTTCCCTGTACGTTGATGGGATTGTGTCACATGCAGCTCAGCAGAAACAATTCAAAGGGAAGTTGGTGCTATCCAGACCAGATATGCAAGTCCCAGATGGACTGGCCTGCTCCAAGTACTGAGTTCACAATAGCTATGGGGACAGAGGACTGAAGATCCTGAAAACCATCTTCCCTATCCCTCCCATCCAATGCCACCCTGTGAAAATTAGGAGGCAGAGGCAGGACTTATAACCTCAGTAATGTAAGTACGGCTGAGAGCACAAAACCATTAAAGGCTAAACACTCTGTGGATGTGAGACATTTCTCACTTAAGATTCTTGAACAATATTCTATTAAAGACATAATGCGACTTATATATTATCTCTTACTTTTTTTCCAGAAGATTGGTGCACTTATTCATTTTCTTAGGAATAACTAATTGGACTTTTAGGGGAGTACAGATGTTGACAGAGGGGGTCAGGAGACAGTAGGATTGAAGCAGACTCCGGTCTCTTGGGATCTCGTCGGTGGAGGATGGGAGCTGGGAGGCTGTGGTGCTAAGGATGTGAGTGCTCACCCCTGGAGTTCTTGCAGGGCTGGCGCAGGAGGGCCCGTGTCTCTGGGACAGGCTTCAGAGCAACCTACTGCACTTGCGTAGATGATGCCCTTGGAGTAGACCATGACTCCATACAAGCAGTGTTTTGAGGGAAGTGTTAACCAATATCCTTATAAGGTTACAAGGGACAAAGTAATAGCTACAGTTTATTTTTTAGGACCTAAAAGCTTCCAGGATTTTCCAGGAGCTTTTTTACCTGTATTAAATCATTCAAGCCTTACAGTAACACTATGAAATCAATAGAACATACATTTTACAAATCAGAAAACAAGGTTGAGAGGTGAATTATAAGTTTCCCAAAGTTACCTAACTGTTAAGATGTGCTAGGAACTGAACCACGTCCTCAAGCCTTAATTCCCAATGTGACAGAATTTAGAAATAGGGCCTATGAGAGAGGTGATAAATTTTAAATGAGTTCCAAGGGTAGAGCCCTACTCAAAGAGAAAGAGATGCCAGAGCTCTCCCTGTCTTTTTGGTGATGTGAGGACACAGTGAGAAGGCAGCTGTCTGTAAGCCAGAACGAGAGCCCTCACCAGACAACAACCCACCTGGATCTGTGTCTGAAAATTTCCAGCCTTCAGAGCTGTGGGAAATAAATCTCTGTTGGATGAGCTACCCAGTCTGTGATGTTTTATTATGGCAGCACCACCAATATAAGAACAAAAGGCCAAATTTAAATTCAGCCCGTGTGTCCCTTGAGGTCTAATTGATACCACGGTACCTTTGCAGCAAGGGCAATAACTTACAATATGTGACATCATTTAATTTACACGCTCATTAAAAACACGCTCTAATGCCATCAAATCTGAGGACAGTCAAGGCTTTGCCTGTTCAGAAATGTCTTATATCCGTCCAAAATTTCTTGTTTGAACTGAATGATGTTTCACATTCTCATGATTAAAGGGGAGAGAAACCAACATAATAATTATTGAGAAACCTAGGGGAGGTTTCACCTGAACAGGATCTGGGTGGAGGATAACCACTTTCAGACAAGAGCCAAAAAAACAAGGGAGAGATTTTTGTCTGTTGTCAAAGATCCCTCATGTAGGGCCCATGGTTAGAAGGGCAAGGACTACGCATGTTGGATCCATGCAAGTGGGAATTTGTAATATTTGAAAATGGCCTGAGAGGAAAGAGCTGTCTGCAGAAATAAAGCTATTTCATAAATGGGGCCTTTGACATGAACTCAAGTTAGGGGTGAGAACCACATGTTTCAAATTGTGATGTCCCACATCTCTAGCCTAAAATTAGAAGCATTCAGAGATTTGGTGGTTCCATGCTGTTTTGTTGTTGGTGTTTTCCCAAATGAATGATTTCTAGAATCAAATCATGTCTTCCTAAAGTCAAAGCTGTTGCTAGGGCCCGGGCAGTAAGGTCTGTTTCCAGGAAATGGGCATTGGGACGTGTCCCTCTCACCGCACGGACCACCCTGTCCCCCGGGCTGACCAGGCTTCTGGAGGAGGAGACCCTTTACTTGGATGTCACTTTGCACCTCGCTTTCCACCCGAGGAGAGCCTGTCTGAGAAGAGTGACTGTTCTTCAGTCAGTAGTAGAGAAAATCTAGGAAGCTGTTTTCGAGTGAGTTGTAGATGAGCAAAGATGTTTCTCTGATGCTAAATGGAAACTACGAAAATGACTACGGTGCTCTAGAGCTATGGGGAACATCTGGTGGCATGGTGGGGTGGCATGGAGTATATGAAATTCTAGCAGTCATGCAGCAGATCAACAGCAGTACTGGGGTTTTAATTGCATGTACTATTTGCCGTGTGGGTGTGGGGGACCATCATATCTGATCAGTGGCAGATTCCGGATCCATCATTTGTTTATCAGAATGTACCAGCTGCTTTGTAGCCTCCAGCTTGGTGGGGAACCATTTTACAAACCTCAAGTGCTGTATAATAATGTTTAGCAGTGGGAGGGGGTGATTATGGATCACTGAGCACAAATCGTGAGTTAGGTTCCCAAATAAATAAACCTTTCTTAACGCCTCTGATTCTGTTTTGTGAGCATGAGGAGTATTGGTTTGTTTATTTTTTCTTCCCATATTACTAAGAAAATTGCTTCAGTGCAGCTTCAAAAGCTGTTTGCATAAAAGCCGATTATTCACTGTTTTATTGTTCATTTTTTGTGGATCAGGCATTCAGGAAAACTTTCCAAAATCTCTAGTTAGTTTCATTGTATTTCAGGTTCACAATGAGTCAAGCCACTCATACATTGTCCCTCTCCATCTTCTCTCTGAACCCTGAGGCAGAGCTGTTGCTCAGTCTCAAGTTTTCTGCCTCTTGGTGCAAGCTGGTCAACACTACAGCAGGTTAACATGAATGACTTGATGGGGTGCAAAGAACAGACTCAGATGGTGTCAGGAGAAGAGCTAATACCTAAAAGAAGTAATACCTTTTTCATGATTGGACTCCACTCTAAGGACAGAAAATTGAAATATTTGGTCTTAATTTGGATGCCAGAGGAGTGTGGGCTGGGATTTTTTTTCTGTCTGAATTATGAGACGTAATGCATACAAGTGAAGCTGTCTGTTCTGGTCCAGGAGGGATACCAGAGCAACTGGCCTTTGTGCTCCAGGTCCAAGTAACCAGAGCAAGAAAGAGGGCTCACTGCTCCCGCTCTGCAGAGATGAATTCCACTGAGGCTTGAGGCCATGTTTTGAGAGCTAGCATTTGCTGAAACAGCCAAGATGTTTACATTCCTTTTTTTTTTTAAGTGAGAGAATCAGGCAAAAGCAGTAAGCAGAGCTGTCAGCTCAAAGTACTGTAGGCAAGCAAAAAGAAACGATTTCATAGTGGAGAAATTAAAGGGATTGGTAGAATTTAAGGCAGGGATTCAGTGTTTAAATGTAGATATAAAATTTGTACTTAGATACTACTGAACTAGACTTTCTTTTGGAAGTTTCATGACTCAGAACTTAACTATTATAGTGCATATAACAAATCACCAAGGGATATAGCAGGTTTCCTAAAATGCTTTTGACGTGGAGCTTTTTCAAACCTCAGACCTTCCAGGAGGACAGTGGCTCTGTGGGACACACTTAGGGAGGCCCTGCAGTAGAAATTTATCTGTCATGGTTTGCATTTCTTCCAGTCATTCATCCCGCCTGATTCCCTTGTCCACGCATTTCTTATGATGTGTAGTAAGTTTTGCAGATGTTTTTCATGGAGTTCCATTTTTGTAGGAAACCATGACCAAGGAATTGTTTATATTATGCTTAATAGAAAATAAGCAACTCCTAGGAGGAGAATGTTGAAAGTTCAACTCTTTTAAGTGACATCATTAGTGTTATATAAATACTTGATAAATACATGTTAAATCTTAGTGTATATGCATGAATGAGTAAATGGCTATTGCAGCGCCATCGCTCATGAGAGAATATTATCATTCAGGAAATAAAAATAAATCTAAACTATGTTATCTGTATATTTTAACTTACTTAAAAATTACTTAAATGCCATGACGTTTTTATTTTATTTTATTTTTAATTGGAAGCCTGTTAGGTATGGTAGCTTAGTCAGGTCACTAAAGGGGAGAACCTGAAAACTTTGAGATAATATAGGAGAGCAAACGAGGTTGAGAAACTCATGTTGAGTGTTTCACCATCCAGTGAAACGTAGTGACATGACAGTGAATCCACACCCTTGCCTGTAGGATGTTTCCAGAAATCACCCTGTAATCATATGTCAGTGAACTTAGGAATGTCCTTATCAGGAATTGTCTGTATACTTGCATAATAGTTGCCTTTAAAGTTATTGGGATAAATATGGGAGATAATGCAATAATTCATGCAGGTCTAATGTTAGTGATTTCCCTGGAGATGTTTAAATAGATGGAAATTTCTTAGTATGAATTTGGCCATGTAGCTTTAATACATCTCATCTAGAAGGTGGCCAGGTTCTATAGAAAAGAAGTGTGCTTACTCATGTTCTCACTGCATAATAAAAGGTATCTTATAACATTACTCATCTTATAACATTGCTCATCATTTCAGGGGGTGCTTTTGCAGGTTTGATACCTGGGTCTACTATGTGATGCTGAGGTTTGGGGTGTAAATGCTCTCATAGTGAGCTCATGAACTTTGAATATAGTACCCAACAGTTTGCTTTTCCCTTCCCCTTCCCTCAGTCCCTGCATTCCCCACCTGCTCCAGCAGTCCCCAGCATCTATTGGTGCCGTCTTTATGAGTACCAATGTTTAGCTCCCACTTACAAGTAAGAACATGCCGTATTCTGCAAGATTCTTGCTTATTGTAACCAGTAAGAAG